TCATTCTTATAAAAGTCTTATGTTAACACTACGGCAAGGACACTATCCGGTTTTATCTTACTTTTCACATTGACTCAATTAAGCCAAAATAAAATTACAAACTAAGATATAAAGATATTACGTGTTTGACTAATTATCTTTCATACTTGCGTGTGTGTTAGCGTCCATACGCAATACCGGTCCTAAATCAGAGTTATTAAAAGATTATTGTTATGCTCTGATCATCAAGGCCTAAGGACCTCAAAGAAAGCCCCAAACGAGATTGCGTAAGTGCGTAAGCAAGTATGAGGTGCAAACTTATAAGCATGCATGTTAAGTTACGAAACCACTTGTCCTAACCTCTCAGTTTGGGGTCATTAACGTTTAACCCCTCAAGGAAAGGCAAGAATGGGGTTGCGTAATCTCACATTTCTGGTTCGGTTGATGAGCTTATTCTAACATTTTGGGCGAATGTCAGTGAAATTAGAAGTATCACTGAGTAGACAAATTGAGTCGTATTCTTTTAGATGGCGGCTCAACACCCTCTCTTTCTTTCAATCTATCAATCAAGCTTAAGTAGTTCCTACTCATCTTTCTACCACCATTCCTCACATTCAACTTATTCGCAAATCTTTTAATTTCAATAACCTCTCTTATCTTTCTGTTAAGCATAGACGTACCATAATCAGCAAACCTACTAGTTATTTTATATCCAGTTTCTACCGTGTCCAGTCACTTCTGACCGTTGGAAGCATTTTTGTGTTCTACCAATATTTGTCGAATAGGTCGGCATGTCCAACCAACATAAAATCAACCCCATGAGCAAACAATCTTGTAGCAGCCGAATTTCGAGAATTGGTCATCATACCATGGACGAAAACTCAGCACGTTGTCACCCGAAACGAAGGCGTAAATCTCGTGAACTGCGTCAACATGAATATGGTATAAAAGCCAAACAACTGCAGTACAACGAGATTCATCCGTCCTCATCTGGTGAGGTCGACCGAGGAATCTATTCTTCATGCACTTTCATACTCAATGAAAGTCCTCTTAGCAATCAGATTATCACTTAAGCAGGATGGAGTTGTAAAGCGATGAACTTTCTTTATGGCACCAGCGTCCTCTCGGCAAGGGCATCTGTATCCTAGCGTCACATAATCGAGCAATATTTGTATCCGTAAATGCCATTTGTGTTGCTTTCTCCTTCTTCCTTCAGGTCGAATATCAGTACAATAAAGTACGTAGCAACATGTTGCACAGCTACAGGTCGTCCCCACTATCGAGGTCAGCTCAGCCATTTTGTTCATCTCCCCCAATTTTACATTAGAATCACACATTGTTTAAGCATTTTCATAAAAGATTGTATTGGTACAGAAATTCGGTTCATGTCTGGACAAATAGTTTGGACACATCGGGCTAAGTGCTCACTGGGAGGATGAGTTAATTGTCACATATTTTGCCTATTTACACAGCCATTTTGGTTTCATATTTGTAGAGTATACATCGAGTCAAACACGAGGGGAGCTTTAGCGAGAGAATATAAGAAAGACATAATAATATGGCTGGGAGCCGGTGGACTCAAGTGGCTTACTTTGAGCAAAGCAAGCCTTCTGCTTTTGTGGGCAGCGGTCCACATTAATTCACGTGAAAGACGTCAGTGCTGGGAGTTGATAGGTAGCTGAAGGGTCAAGAGAACCGGGCTTTTGCTACGTAAATCCGGCCGCCTGATTGTCGGGAAGCCGGTACACGTTGGACTGGTCTCTGGGGGAAAATGCCTCCCAACCGAGGTGTCCGGAGTATGCTGCTGGCCGGACAATGGTGAAGGCGAACAGACGACGGGACTCGAACACCCTCGGGGCGTTGAAGACCCCATCCAAGGCGGGGCACAACCTCCTCACGAGGTGAGGTGACGACTGAGATGGCGGAAAACAGGCCTCAATCACACCTTCATGCCCGAATGTGTGCGAAGCGGGTGGCAACTTCTCGCTTAGTATGTACATCTTGGCGGAGCGAGTGTCAGTGCAACCCAGGTCATAGAATAGGAAAATAGGCGATGCAAGTTCTGGGCGTTCCATTTTTTCTGATGCTACCTCAAAGACGAAGGACCTGGTACTTTGGGTCTTGTGAAGCTGGAATTTCATCTGGACGAGACAACACGTTAAATGATGGACGTTTTGCGTTTTGCTGGCGTCCTTCCGGCGAAAGCGGTGAGCAGTGACGAGCCGGCCCTCTGACGGAGCGGCGGACGCCCAGTTTCGTCCGAGTCCGGCGACGGGTCTGACGGGCACGGTTTCCGCGACGCTGAGCCGAGGGCGATCGAGGAGATGCGCAGGAGACGTGGCGCAATGAGGAGGCTGGCGGTGGTGGCGCCCAGTCCGTGCAGGCCTGCGGACGCAAATGTCGCCTTGAGCGAGGCCGAGCCACCGGACTCTTGCGAGACTCGACCCACTTTGGCCATGGCCTTTTGGCGCGCCTCTTCGGCCACTAATCGGCCAAAGTGAGCAAAGTCGTCCAGAGCGTCCACTTCGTCGTCGTCGTCGCTCGAGGTCGCCGTTGCCGTTGCCGTCGCCGTCGCCGTCGTCCTCCGTCGGCCATCCTTGAGCGCCTCCTTGGGCTCGTGCTGCGACCGGAGGCCTTTGACCTCCGATGGTCCCAGCGTGTTTCGGCAGCTCGGACGCCTCTTGGCTCGACTCGACACACGAGTGCTCTTCTTAACGTCGGCGCTGGCCGTCGCCGCCGACGCCAACATCTGCCCGACGTCCTCGCCGATCGGCTGCTCCGTTTGGACGGCGACGCAGTTCTCGGAAAAGTTGCTCTTCCGCCTGGCCCGCGACGTCTTCGTCGACGACTCCCAAATGGAGTGGGACCTGCGCGTCGAACTGGCCAAATCTGTCCGCGACTCGGACTCAGGCGCGCTCCTGTCGCGGTGGCCGCGGCCGGTGAAGAAGTGACTGGCTCTGCGAAAGGCGAGGAAGCGGGTGACCGGCACAGCCGTTAGCTTCGCCGGTTCCCTCACCGACACTGGCACCGATTCGCCGTCGCCGTCGCCGTCGGCATTCGCGTCAGTCTTGACGTGACAGGTTGGCTCGTCTCTGATGCACGTCGACTCGCTGCTGGCCTCGGGGATGATTGGAGAAGACTGACGCCTGTCGGTGTGTCCACCGGCCGGTACCATGAGACTGACCTGTTGGGCGAGGAGCGGCGACGCGTGACCAGCCCGGCTTGAGCTGGCCTCCTCGACTCGCCATGGCTTGCTTCCGCCCGCCAAGCCGACCGGAACGGACAACAACCCGTCATGAGCGTCGTCTGGCAGACGTAGAAGTTGGTCGTCATGGCGAGACAAGTGACGTTCTGCCGGTATCGTGTGCTTCAACAACGACTCAAATTGGTGCCGGTCGTCGC